TTTTCAGCGATGAGGCTTGGTTTCATTTGTCGGGATACGTGAACTCACAAAATTTTAGGTTTTGGAGATCTGAAAATCCCCACAATTTCATTGAGACTCCACTACATTCTCAAAAAATTGAGGTGTGGTTAGCAGTTTCTCGTAGGCGAATATATCGACCGATTTTCTTCGATGGCACTATCAATGGTGAAAGGTACAGACAAGTGATGTTAGAACCATTCATCAATCAACTTGATGATGAAGAAATTCGATTTGGCTATTTTCAGCAAGATGGGGCCACTGCCCACACCACACGTGCAAATTTAGAATATTTACAAGAATTTTATGACAACCGTGTGATGAGTCGAGTAGTTAATCCTTCTTTTCCAACACGTTCTCCAGATTTGACGACTTTGGATTTCTGCCTTTTTCCACATTGCTGCCAAAATATTGGCCCGGAAATGATGAGGAACATTTTCTACAACAAAAACGGCGGAGTTTTGAAATGCTTGGAGAACAACGGAGAACATTTTGAACATTTGATGTAGATTAATGAAATGAACCGTTATTTATTACTTCTTTGATAAATATTTTTGATTTGTTCCATTATTTTTCAAACTCCAATATTGGACTCTCCTTTCATTGAGATACATTTCCATAGTGTATGCAAAACGATATAAAAAAAGATCCTGTATATGATCACTTCCTCTCTTTTTGGTCGTTAATTGTTGTTAACAGCATTAGTAGAAAACGGCAAATGGAAAAAAATGTCAACAGCCACTACGATGTTACGGTCATTTATAGAGACCCTGTATTCGCATCTTGAAACATGGGCGCATCAACATTATTGAAAGTATTTTTTGATGAACGTTTGATGATAATTCACAAGTTTCAAGTTGAAATATAATTTTCTCAAATACCGTTATGGAATTGGTGGAATTGATAGTTATTTATGTAATATGGATCATAAAGACGATCATTATGGTACAAGTCGTGAATGAACACGGCGTGTGCCATAATGATTGTTTATGATTCGTATTACATACAAAATTTTATCTGATGGCATTTATATCAATACATTTTCGAAAAATTAAAAACTGCATTTTCGACATGTCACAATGACAACTATTTTTAAAGGAGTAAGTATTGTGTAGTTTCAAATATTAGTAGGTGAGTGAGCTGTGCTTTGCCATTATATTAATATTACAAATTGTAGTAATTGTTCTTTTACCATTTATAATAAATAGTTTTGTACATAGTTATGCATTTTGAATGAACTTTTTTGATCAAACCATTACATGTTTTCCTTATAGAATTTCATTATGGTACTTAGTACCATAATGAGCTTCCTTATGTCATCAAAATTGAGTGGCATAACGTTGTCATTATGACATGCCATCAGATAAAAAATTTTATATAATTTGTTCGACATGTCTTAAGGAATCAAGATTCGACATCTGTTTTCTGAACTACCCCCTACCCCCAAACGCACAGGACGATTTTTTGACGACAAGTGGATCCATGATCTGAAGATGGTAGGTAACAATTTTAGCCATGTCACAGCCTTTTACCTCTGATGTCTTACCAACTTTCGATCTAAGCGACTTACGATACGTTTGGCACTACTATTATGGATGTCCAAAATAATGTTTCATATTTATACATCAACTCGCCTTGATTTCCCCTATTTACCATTTGGCTATGTGACTCTCGTCATGAATCACCCTGTATATTTTTATCTGAAAGATAATACAAATTCTCAACTTCAGAAGATTATATTTTAAATGTTTATTGTATGTGTTCAATAGTTATATTTCAAATTCTTCGTGGCATATAGCCAGGAAAGTAGTTGTTTTCTGTTGAATATACCGAGAAAGAATTCATATATTTATCAGATAAAGAATGCGAATTCTCAATGCATTTCTCAATATGTACCATTTTTTTCATTTTTACAATATATCTGATAATATTCCTTTTCAATACTAGTATAATAATATTGAAAAGGAATATTCTCAGATATATTTATGAACACAAAAAAAATTGATATATAAATAAAGAAATACATTGAGAATTCACATTCTCCATGTGATGAGAATATTAATTCTTTCTCGGTTTATTCAACAGACAACAACTACTTTCGTGGCTATATGCCGCGACGAATATTGAATTAGGTCTATTGAACACACGATAAGAATTTGAAAACAAAATCTTCTGAAGTAGAGAATTTGCATTCTCCTTCATATAATATCATTCTGAAAAAAAAAATACACTCAGTTCCAAAAAAAGTGACGCACTTGATATTTGACCTATCTTCTTAAAAAAAAAAAAATAGTAGGCCGATGTTTATTTTTTTTTATTCGTTGGTAGGTAATGCATTTGTCTTTAAAAAAAATAAAGAGGTGAACATTTTTTCAAAGCCTCCTTGATGGTGGTGGAATAACTCGAACCATGATTTATTCTTAATTTTTTAATTTAATTTGGTTGTACTCTGGTAGGATCACAATTGTCTTTAAAAAAACAAATGCCGTTGCCATAGCAACTAATTTGTTGTATGCCTCCATATTTGACCATTTGTCGTTGTGTCATTAATTAAGTGTCTTGTTTTATTGACTAAAATTACATAAAATGCCTCAAATAAATCCTGAACAAGTAGCAAGATTAGTCGCGTTAGTAAACGATGGGCGTAGTAAACGTTACGCCGCTCGTGCAGTGGGAGTTCATGAAGCAACTGCTCGTAGAGCAATCCGCAAGTACGAACAACCAGGAAGCACCGCTCGGAGGGTCGGTTCTGGTCGCCCCCGAAAAACTTCTCCAGGAGATGATCGCTTCTTGAGATTGTGGATTTTACGGAATCGATCAAATACTGCGGTAAATGTTCAGCAAGATCTTCGCCAAATTCGTGATGTTGCAGTAAGTAAGCAGACGGTATGTAGACGTCTGAAAGAAGTTAATTTACATCTAGGAGACCTGCAGAAGCTCCCAAATTATTGCCCGAACATCGTGCTGCTAGACGAAATTTTGTTGAAAATTATGGACAGTGGAATATTCCTGAATGGTCGAATGTCTTGTTTACGGATGAGTCAAGGTTTTGCCTTAACATGGTGGATGGAAGAAAAAGAGTGTGGAGAAGAACAGGTGAACGGTTTAATCAAAATTTAATAACAGAATGCGAAAGTTTTAATGGTGGGTCTGTTATGGTGTGGGGAGGGATTTCAATGAATGGAATGAGACCCCTCCATGTTTTTCCGGTGAGGCAGTCGATGAATGCCCAAATTTACATTGACATTCTAGAGCAGTATGTCTCACCTTATGCAAAGTTAGTGGGCAATAATTATACAGGGTGATTCAAAAGTAAGCGGCATCCTTTCAGAGGCGTATTCCTTGCTTGAAAATAAGGCAAAAAGTTCCTATTGATAAGGATCCGAAAATGCTTCCTAAGGGAGCTACGGCCCTTTGAATAGGACACCTCAAAGACGGTTTTTTCTCTATAACTTTAAAATCCTTCACAACAAATTTTTAAAAATTGGTGTACGGCATAAACATTCGATGGTAAATAGGACTCCGTATTCGAAATAATTTCCAAACGAAATCACAGTAACCTGAATATCCGGAGAAGAAGGGATATTTTTACACTTACCCTCTCCCGCATGTGACGCCCCTGAATGAAATTCTGAAATTTCGAATACGGAGTCCTATTTACCATCGAATGTTTATGCCGTACACCAATTTTTAAAAATTTGTTGTGAAGGATTTTAAAGTTATAGAGAAAAAACCGTCTTTGAGGTGTCCTATTCAAAGGGCCGTAGCTCCCTTAGGAAGCATTTTCGGATCCTTATCAATAGGAACTTTTTGCCTTATTTTCAAGCAAGGAATACGCCTCTGACAGGATGCCGCTTACTTTTGAATCACCCTGTATATTGATGCAGGATAATGCCCGACCACACACCGCAGCAGAAGTGCGAAACTTCTTAGAAGCTTCTGGTATTACCACATTACAATGGCTTGCGAACCCTATTGAAAGAACATTTGTGGGATGAATTAGGGAGAAGGGTACGTTCTCGCGAGAGGTCTCCGGAAAGTCTCGCAGAAATGGCAGATGCATTAGTGGAAGAATGGGATCTTATACCAATGAAACGATAAGCAACTTAATTTCCAGTATGCCTCGTAGATTAGAAGTTGTTAGAGTTGCTAGAGGAGGCAATACAAGGTATTAAGCAGTCATCCCAATTCATAATTTTGTGTTTAATAAAAATGTTTTTTAAAATTATTGGTATCAGTTTATTTCATTAGAAAATTGTTTCTCGATAAATTCAGAAAGTCGGTAATCTTTTTTTTTTTTTTTTTTTTTTAGAAAGGGAATCCCTATAATGTTCAAAGAACATCGTGCGTTCCTAGGGAGGATAGGGACAGGAGGTAGGTATTGGAATTTTTTTTGAATTTTTGGAGATTATATGTTGTTGGAAATACTTCCACAGGCAATGAATTCCAGAGCCTAGCCGTTCTATGGATGAAGGAGTCTTGATAAAGTGCTGTTCGACATCTTTCGAGGCTGACAACGAAAGGATGTGATGACTGGGCTTGTCTAGTTCGTCTGATTGGTATTGCTAGTGAAGGGATGATTGCAGAGATTTCCGAAGAACATTTCTGCAAGGATTCAGCAAAAAAAGCTGTAATTCGGAAAATTTTCGAGATAAATCAATGAATAAAAAAACAAAATGCTCGCAAAAGAAGCCTCTTTCGTATAGGGTGTAAGCACTTTCTATGCCATTACTCAATTAACACACAGGGTGAGTCAAAAATTGAGAATAAATCATGGTTCGACTCATTCCACCACCACCAAGGAGGCTTTGAAAAAATGTTCACCTCTTTATGTTTTTCAAAGAAAAATGTATTACCTACCAACAAATGAAGAAAAAAATCGGCCTACTATTTTTTTTTTTTCAAGAAGATAGGTCAAATATCAAGAGTGTCACTTTTTTTGGAAAAGAGTGTAGTATAATAATGTTAATATGTTCATTCAGGAAGGCTGAAAGGAAAAGTAGTATTTGTAACTGGCGCTTCCAGTGGCATTGGCGAATATACAGCTTATGCTCTTGCTAAAGTTGGTGCAAAACTAGTTTTGGCTGCCAGACGATATGAAGAACTTCAAAAGGTCAAGAGGAAATGTCTTGGTAAGATATTAGTCAGTTAAAATTTCCTCCTCATGGAGAATACAATGATACGTACAGCTTGCTCATTCTAGCTTGGTCCCTGAGATACGCAAACAATAAACAGAGAGGGCTTGTGTGCGACAAAGATCTACTACACCTTTTTATTGGGAAGTACAATCGTAGTGTACGCCCCACTCCGCCGACTGGTCTAATGCGCATCCAATTCTCAGGGGCCAAGCAGGGATTTAGAGATCTAAGACGTTTCAAAAGTTCATTTTATATTCGATTTTCAACAATGTTTACATTCAAAATCGTTTATACTGCAGTTACCTATTCCAGTAAATGGAACTTCACGCGATTTACTTGTGTGAATAAACTAGTACTAATTTAATTTTGTGAAAATCTGCTGAGGAGTTTAAATTTTCAAAATTTCAATTCAATCAAATATTGATCATCATCATAGTGAGGTTATAAGTTCAGAGTTAAAATTATAATGGAACATTTTATTTCGTTCTTTTTAGGAGCGTTTAAATGAAAGCTTTTTATTATGCTTCTTACCTTTAATTTATTTTTTAATGTTTAGTTTTCGCTGGCTAGGTTTCTCAGTCTGTTCATTTCATTCAACGCATCATTGTTGCAAGGTCGTTCGCCGCAGCGACCTCCTTCATTATAGGAAAGCAAAAAAACTTCAATAGTATGCCATATTGGATTTAGGATGATGTTAAATTATTTCTAATTATTCAGATTATTCTTGATGGGCCCTTTCAGTTGATACCCATATTGCAGAAGTGCAAGAATAACAACTATTCCGCCATATTGGAAGTTCTGCCATATTCGATTTAGAATAACGTTACATTATCTTCCGAGTTACTCTCAACGAGCCATTTCATTTGATACCTATATTGTAAAAGTATATATTTAAAATAACTATTCCGCCATCTTGGATGGTCTGTCATATTGGATTTAGATTGACGTCACATTATTTTCCGAGTTGCTCTCAACGAGCCCTTTTATTTGGTACCTTATTGTAGAAGTGAATTGAAAATAACTATTCCGCCATCTTGGATAGCCCGTCATATTGGAACAATGACGTCACATTATTTTTCGAGTTATTCTCAACAATTCCTTTCATTTGATACTCATATTGTAGAAGTGGTTTGAAAATAACTATTACGCAGTCCTGGATGGTCCGCCATATTGGATTTAAAATGACGTCACATTATTTTTCGGGTTATTCTCAACATGTCCTTTCATTTGATACCCATATTGTGGAAGTGCATTAAAAATAACTATTTCGCCATTTTGGATGGTGCGTCATATATTAGATTCAGAATGACGTCACATGAATTTTCGAGTTACTCTCAAAGAGCTCTTTCATTTGGTACCCAAATTGTAGAAATGCATCAAAAATAATTATTCCGCCGTCTTGGAGGGTCCGCCATATTGAATTCAGATTGACGTCACATTATTTTTCGAGTTACTCTCAACGATGAGCCCCTTCATTCGATACCCTTATTGTGAAAGTGCATTAAAAATAACTATTTCGCCATCTTGGATGGTCCGCCATATTGGATTTAGAATAACTTCACACACCTTATCGTGCATTGCCACCACTACAAAATTTCAGCTCAATCGGTTGAACCAACATACATCCATGCATTGTAAGTTAAATAAAAGCTTTCAATAATGAAAATATATTCATCAGATCTCTCCATAATATTAATAGAGAAATAAATATCTTCATCAGATCTCTCCAATGGACTGCTGGAAGAAAAAGATATCCTTGTCATTCCAATGGATATGACGGATTTTCCTTCTCACCAAAAACATTTCCAAGAAGCTGTCGCGCATTTTGGCACTGTGGACATCCTATTGAATAATGCAGGCCGTTCACAGAGGGCGATGTGGGACAATATAGAATTGGCTGTCGATAAACAAATGTTCAATTTGAACGTTTTTGGTGTGATTAATTTGACCAGAGTTGCACTGCAACATTTCAATAAAGTAGGTGCAGGACATGTTGCAGTGACGTCTAGTTTGGCGGGAATCATAGGAGTGCCTTATTCTTGTACATATACTGGAACAAAACACGCAATTCACGTAAGTAGTTTTCGGAACTATGTTCGACATAATTTACAGAAAGTTCATCGACCACCATCCATGGCAAATGATTTGGTTTCGTTTGTTGAAGTTTTTTACGTCATTTACGTATATTCATTTTTTCAATTCACTCCTGATAGGAGCAAGCTGGTTTGAGGAAAGCAGGGGGTAACTCAGCTAATAGAATTTACAGAATATGTATGCAGCAGAATTTTAAAATCGATTCATCTCGAAATCTAAACTAAACAGGAGTACAATTTTCAAGTAAAATTGTTGAGATCCATTATTTCCTGGTCAAATTGCTGAAAATTGCATAAACAAAAAAGTTTGTGGAAAAATATGCCCTATCTCCTCCTATTTTCCACGCCCCTGATCAAAGTTTTGAAAGATTCCCAATATTTTAAAATTGGGCATAAAAAGCCAGGTACCTTTATGTACACAATTAAGTTATCTTATCATAGAGTGTTCCGAAAATATTTTATAGAAAACCTTCATCTCAGGTTCGTCTTGTCTTCAGGTGGCTCTATAACTTCCCAAGGGGCCATTTCTAGACCCATCTTCATAATATAAACTATTTTTACTATTTTTGATCCTAGAACCAGCAGTTAACATCTTTCTATGAAATTTCGGGGCACACAGGGTGTCGGTTTTAGAACTTCGTCAGCTTGAAGAACACATATTTTCGAAATGAAAATCTTATGTGAACGTATATGTGTGCAAGCTTCGTTTCCGATATAAAGGGTATCAAAAGTTTGATATATTTTTTGTTTCAAGTTCTCTACAATTTACTAAATAATAAATTGATAGGTACTCCTACTACACTTCAAAAACTCAATATTCGCGGCTTTTAATTGTTCAAAAATTGTACCAAATTTAACCCTCTCTTACCCCTAATTTGGATACTATTTTCTTCACTGTATGTTCTCTGAAAACTATGAATTTCAAGATGAATGACAAATATAATTTATTACTTGTAATGAAACTTCATTTCTCTAAAACACTGTATTTGACATTTCTTAATAATATACAGTAAGATCTGGAATAGTGTGTCGTGTGTCAATGAAACTCTTTGACTCATTGACAAAAGCTACTGTGAACCAAGTAGGTTTTCTGAAGAAGAATGATAATACCTACACAGCAATACTTATGAGGAGAGTCTGAATAAGATACTCACTGAAGCACACTTTCCAGCCTCAGTAATTCTAAATGGGCCGATAGTGGCCGACAGCACCATTGGCAGCCCGAAAAGGCCAACTGCCAAGGAATGGAGGCTAGCTAAAGAGGTTTTTTTTATGTTCTGGTTCCCACGAGAAGGGATATCCTGTAATGTTCAGAGAACATCGTGAGAACCAAGGGAAATAAGGTAGGAATTGGTGTTCTTCTTGAATTTCTGGAGGTTATCTAGGCCAAACAGGATTAGGTGATATTAATAAATGTCAACCTTATAAATCCCCTGGAGTAGATGGAATACCCATCCTGCTTCAAAAGGAGCAAGCGATACTAATTCCATATCTGTGTTGTATATTCAATGCTTGTATAGCAATACGATATATACCCATCGTATGGCAGAAGGTGATAGTCATCTACCTACCCAAAGTGGGAAAGGTGGGTGACAAAATGCCTAAATCATACCGCCCAATAAGTTCAATGTCGTGCCTGCTCGAAACGCTGGAGAGACTAATAGACAGACATAAGAGACGAGGTATTTCAAACAAACCTTCTCAGCCAGTCAAGTAAACTGACTTAGCACCTGATGATTTGAACAGGCTACTCACAAAGTCGACAAAGGACAAAGAAATAGCTGTAACAACATTCGTAGACAACGCATCCACAGATTCTATAAGGTAGATTCGCAAGTACGGTCTCTAAGCTCACTCAAACCGCTCTAAACATAATTGACAAGTGGTGTAAAGAGGAGGAACTCACAGTGAACTCCCATAAAACCACTATAGTGAATTTCACGAAAAAGAGAGTACTGGAAGGATTAAGGTAACCAGTACTCAACGGGGTAGAATTGTCCTAGATGCGAAATACTTATTGGGAGTCATCTTTGAACATAAGTTGACATGGAATCAACACCTCCAAAATTTGTTCAAACAAGTACAGTAGCCTTCAATCTGCGCAGACGAATGTGCAGAGATAATTGGGCACTGCAACCAAAAATGACCACATGGCTCTATGCCAGTGTCATTTGGCCCATGATGGCATATGGGTCGGTAGTTTGGTGGCCTCAGACACAACAGGCTGGAGTGATTCGAAGGCTCAGTGCCATTCAAAGGCGAGCTTGCCTGAGCGCCACTGGGGCAATGAAAACAACTCCAACCGCCGCTTTAGAAGTCCTCTTGAACTCGCCACCACTACAAATATACATTCAAGGCGAAGCCAGGGCAGTCGTGAGTAGATTGTCTAGGGGTCATGCACCCATAAGCAACACGCACGGTAAAGACTACAGGAAGCTATATGAAGAATTGGAAAGCGACGACCCCATCATGGGAATGCCAACAGATGGCATAATTTCAAAATATAGCTAAGAAAAACTTTTAAAATAGGTATAACGGACAGAGAGGCATAGAAGGAAGGACCTATCAATGCAGACATTGCTGTCTATACGGAAGGGTCAGGAACTGGTAATTATGGGGGCAAGCCAAAGACAAAAATCTCACTGAGCTTAGGCAAATACTCGACGGTGTTTCAGACATAAATTATTGCAATACATCATTGCGTAAAAGAATTGATAAGGCAAGAGTTTAAAGGGAAACCCATTGCAATCTATTCGGATAGCCAAGCGGCAATCAAAGCAGTTAACTCAATGCAAGTTAACTCATAGCTAGTATAGGACTGCTCAGAAACTACATACAGGGTACGAGGGCAATGTAGATGCAGACTCACTTGCCCGAGCAGGAGAAAACAAACATCTGAATGGCCCATAACCCGTTTGAGGTATTGCGAAAGCTATACAAAAGTTGCATGGATGCAAACCAAATCTCAAGAATGGTGGAACCACTCGCCAGGAATGAGAGGCAAAAGAGTTTATTAAAAAACCATCGCCAACATTCAAAGAATATCTATTGAGCCAGAAACTAAGTACAACTAGAATTCTAGTGGGACTTCTCACAGGGCATGATAAGCTCAACTATCACATGAGTACTATAGGGTTGACTGAAGAACTGCTGTGCAGGTTCTTTCAGGAAGAGGAGGAAACAGCAGTACACATACTTTGCCACTGTGGGGGCTTGTCAAGTCTAAGGTTCCTTAAGCTGGTTGAGGAAAAACTAAGAGCCACAGGGGATCTGAAAGCTAGCATATGAAGTCTCATAGAGAAGTCGGGGGTAGCCACAGAACTCTGAACGATTTTGAGGGCAGACACAATAGATCTGAAAAGGTCGCGATGTGTAGGCAGATAGCTCGAAGGCCCCACTCTTAATCTAATCTAAAAAACCGCCTGTATATCGGAAACGAGGCTCCTGCGAATCTCAAAAAAATATCTTCCTTAAGCAGATGAAGTTCTGTTAGAAGACTGAATAACCCTGTTTAACTTATATACATTAATTGATGTAGGTGGGTAAATTGATCTTCACAATTTTTCTCTTTGTACATTCCGATGTATTTGTGCAATTTTATATTATATATCATACAGAGAAGTGCACAAAAAGGGCCAGTGCTGTTAGATTAAAAAATTGGAAGTTGGATAATGGATAATGGAATAAACCTATACGTTAGCACATGCTGTGAAATGCTTTGTGTTGTTGTATCAATAATAAGGTGCCATCAGTGAATGAAAAATTGTGAAATGTGAACATGGTGTTGTCCAAACAAATCAACATTCGATAAGACATAAATTTTTTCAAAAGCATTTTTTTTTCAAGTGAAAAACAACTAATTTCTCACATCTTCGGCTGAAAAACTGTAAGTCGTTAAGTCCAAATTTGCATGCTACAATCTATGGTCTGTAGTGGGAGTATCTATATCATAGTGTGTTTACCGATAGCAAAGGCACCCAAAACCGTATCAATTTCGATTCGATACTTTTAGTAATCAGCAATCAGTGTAGGTAGAGTGTTGCTGGCTGCTGTCTAAATTATCAAAATTACGCGCTCTCGAAATATGGGCGAAAATGATAGAACAATAAACGACTTGTATGAATTGATTCAGCGAATGTCTATAGAGAATGTGAAATTGCACACGTCGCTGAAGGATGAATTGAAAATCATTAGAGATGAGTTATCCACGAAAATTAATATATTGGGCGAGGAAAATAGGCTTTTGAAATTGGAAAACGAGAACCTGAGGAAGGACTTGCAAAAAGTGGAAAGAAAGCAGAAGAAATATAATTTAATATTCTACGGATTATCTGGAGACAGTATAGAAGAAACGAATACTGCTGTTCTAACTACCATAAACGAAGTTTTGCAGATAAAATGTGACATTCGGGACCTAAGAGATATTTTCAGAATTGGTAAGGAAAACCAGGGAAAATCAAGGCCTGTCATAGTAGAAGTTGTCAATTATCATTTGAAAGACTTGATATTGAAACATGCTCATAAATTGAGGAATACTGGAATTAATGTAGCGAAAGATTTGATATCAGTAGATTACCAGGATAGTTCATATTTATCAAAACAGTTGAAAATCGCGAAACAAAAATATCCAGATTCCAAAATAAAGAACAGAACTCTACTAATGAATGGATCTGAATACTCCATAGAAGAATTAAGAGCATCAGGAGTAGAGGAAATATTCAGAGCAAATGAGAACACGGAAGTGACTTCAGGAGAGAGGAACAAAAATAATCAAGCTTCTTTGGAAAAGAAGCGAAACAGAAGCGATACAGATCAACCAACAGAGGATAGCAAATCGAAACGTTCTTCGAGTAGATCAACGAAAAATAAACTTCCTTAGTGAATCATATATACCGAGTTTTTCTCTTCTCGTTTCATTTTATTGTTTTTCATTTTTTTTTTTTATATTTTTAAAAACTGAATCCTTTTATTCAAATAATTATATTTATGTTTATTCACTTAAATTGTTGGGGTCATGAAGAACATTACAATTTATTATCAAAATTGTAAAGGGTTGAGAACTAAAACAAATTTATTCAATAGGAATTTGGGAGCTGAGGAATATGATGTGATCATTTTAACAGAAACTTGGTTGACAAATGATTTTCATGACTCTGAATTATTCGATTGCCGGTATAATGTTTTTCGAAAAGATAGATCATATGAACTTACTGGGAAAGCTAGGGGGGGAGGGGTACTGATAGCAGTATTGAAAAAATATAAATCTTCTCTTATTGATATTGACACCTATCTGGAAACAATTTTTGTGGAGACGAATATTCTTGGCAATCATATAATCTTCAACTCTCTATATATTACTCCTCAATCTAATTCTGAACATTACAAAGATTATGTTGATATATTTCCAAACCTTGATCACAGATTCACAATGGAAACTAAACTTATAATTATGGGCGATTTCAATCTACCTTTTGTTAATGGTACAACTTTCAAGTTTGAAACATCTAATAGGATAACAACTTGTATTACAGAATTGTTGGCATCGTACAATCTGAGCTCTGTGAACAATTGCCTCAATGAGGATCGCAGAACTTTGGACTTAATTTTTGGTAACTTAGAACTAGAAGTTACAAATGATTGCCTTCCATTGGTCAACATTGATCCTAAACATCCTGTATTATCAGTCACAGCTGAAATAGGAAAATTAAAACATTTGAAACCAGATATAAATCATTTGAATGGAGAGTACAATTTCAGAAAATCGAATTTTCCATTGTTATATGAATTGCTGAGAGATTGCAATTGGGAACAAATAGGATATTTCACAGATGTTGATGATATGGTTGACTTTTTTTATCAGAAGTTTTACGAAATTCTTGATGCCACTGTACCTAGAATCAAAACAAGACAATTCAAAAAAAAGTTTCCCCCGTGGTTTTCACCAGAAATATTAGCATGCATGAAAGAAAAAGAATATCATCGTAAAAGGAAACATGAGTCATTGGAACATTTAACCGATTACAAACGTCTGCGCGCGCAAGTGAAATCTAAAATTAAACTTTCTCATAAGGAATATATACGTAATATTGAGAATAATATAAAGCATGATAATAACATTTTTTGGAATTTTGTAAATAGTAAGAAACAATCAAACTCTAATGCAGATAATTCATTCCTGATAGGTAACTCAGAAGTCTCAGATAAAAAAATTATATCCGAAAAGTTTGGTGAATATTTCAACTCCGTGTTCGACTCCATGAATTCGAATTATGATGTTGAGGTAATCAAAAGTAAAATGGGTGATAGAATGGGTCAACCTTGCTTTCATTATACCAAAGTATCAGTCGCAGACATCGAAGCAGCCATGAAAAAACTGAAGCCAAAAAAGTCCGCAGGACCTGATGGAATCCCATGTTACATTTTTAAAGCATGTAGCGACACGCTTATATATCCATTATTGGTAATATTTCAGAAATCTTTGAGATCAGGCATTTTTCCATCCAAATTCAAGGAGTCTAAAATAAGTCCTATACATAAGAGAGGCAGTAGGAAATTAGTAGAAAATTATAGACCTGTTGCCATTTTGAATTGTATCGCAAAACTCTTTGAATTTATCTTACATGATAAAATGTTTTCCCATGTCAAAAACCTAGTATGCCAGGAACAACATGGTTTTTTCAAACAAAGATCCATATCAACGAATTTAGTTACTTTTGTTGATAAGGTTTCTAGTGAGTTGCTTGGACGAGGATCTCAGGTGGACGTTGTGTACACCGACTTTGCCAAAGCCTTTGACAGAGTGAATCACGATATACTTCTGTCAAAATTACACTCATTTGGACTTAGTGATCATATGTTAACATTCTTTGCCTCTTATTTGATGAACAGGCTTCAGTTCGTGAAGTATTCCGGAGAAAAATCCAAACTATTCCTTGCAAAGTCTGGCGTACCACAAGGGTCCAACCTGGGACCTCTACTCTTTTCGATATTTATTAATGATATTGCTAAAAATATAAATTCAGACTGCCTCCTCTATGCCGATGATCTCAAAATATTCAGAGCTATAAAAAATATTGATGATCACCTTGCACTAAGAAACGATATTGATGTTATTTATAACTGGTCCATAGATAACAAACTGCCCTTCAACATTGAGAAGTGTCGAGTGATGACATTCACAAAATCCAAAAGCCCAATGCTTCTTGACTATTCGATGAACAATACCATAATCGAAAGGTGTGTGGAAATTAAAGATTTGGGGATTTGGTTCACTCCTGATTTGACTTTCAAAAAACATATAACAGAAATGATTACGAAATCATACAAAATGTTAGGATTCATCAAGAGAACAGCATATGAATTTAATAATATTGATGTGGTAATGCACCTATATAATTCGTTCGTGAGAAGTCGTTTGGAGTTCGGCTCCTCAATATGGAATCCATCTCATAATAATTTGAAACAAAACATCGAGACTGTTCAGAATAAGTTTCTGAAATATTTATATTACAAAAGACACAAGCAGAGTCCCGGCTTTCGAAGTTTTCAGTTCATTCGAACAGAGTTTTCTATTGTGAAACTGGAATATAGAAGGGAGGAACATAATTTGATAACCTTATATAAAATAATAAATAACAAAATATGCTCTCCATATTTGCTGTCAGCTATCAACTTTCATATTCCTCCCCCTCGGCTTAGACCGAGAAAGGTTACATTCCATGTAGATGCTCGACCGTCAATAGTAAACAGATTATGTATTCTTTTCAATTTGTACAATGTAAGAGAATCTGATAATTTAGATATATTTTCAAAAACAGAATCAGACTTCAGGAGACAGATACGATCGATTGCCGTTTCTAATTAGATTGGTAGATTATTGATATAAGAATATCTTACAATACAGGGTATTGAGTCTGTTTTTTTTTTCTTTTTGTTTTTATCTCGTTACTATAATTTCATTTCTTTTTCTTATGTACATGAAATCAGTAATTATTCTCTATATGACATAGTATTTCCCATATATATATCCCATATGTATATATATCTGTATTATGTGATACATGGATATCTGAATGTATTCAGTATAAAGGTCGTTTTGGAGAATGACCCATATATTCCTCGCATTTCGTCTATATCTATACACGAATGATATAAAATATTGCTTTTTTACCAAACTCGGGAACGTGATGCTCAATTAACTCAATTCAATTTTTTTTTTTTTTGTTTCAAATTGAAGGAACTTCAAAATGATGCTACTTTGCATGCTTGGACATCAGTGTAGTGTCTTTGATGGTATGGCAGAGTCGCCAATTATAGACGTTTAATTGGGATAGCAATTATATATTTAACTTCTGGGTATCTCTATTCCATTATTATTATTATTGTTATTATTATTAATATTATCAATATTTTTCACAATTTTTTGTTCTTCAACATGTATTGAAAACACATGATACAGCTTTGTCATTGTTATTCAAAAACATGGGATTGGGATAGGTACGTATATTTTCATTTGTAATGTTAACATAATATAGGCTAGTTATGAAAGGAACATGTAATTAGGTATCACTACCTGTTTGTTTCTAATAAATAAATAAATAAATAAATAAATAATAACAAATGCTGTCAAAGATATAACAAGAAATAAGCAGAAAGAACTAAATCTTATTGATTTTCCATTGTGGACGACTTTGACGAGACTTCTTGAAACAAAAACATTGTCAAAAATATGTGTTTAATAGTAATATGTGCCATACTTTCCATGAATAATATAATTAATATCTTCTCTGTCCTGAGGTCACGAATCAAAATGTTATTTTCAGGGATACTTCAATGCTTTGAGAGTTGAAAAAATGAAAAACAATATAGATGTAACGCTCCTATGCCCAGGACCAACATTCACAAATTTTCTGGCAGAGAGTTTTACTGATAAAGAAGGACAAGTGAGTAAAAAAAATTGTCGTTCTTATTCTTACATTTCCTCGATTTATTTTTAATTTCAGAAATACAATAACCCTACTCAGCCTACTGACAGACGAATGACTGCTGAACGATGTGGTTATCTAACAGCTGTAGCTTTGGCCAATAAAACAAACGAATCATGGATGGCAGTATTCCCCTTGATTCCTTTAACATATATTATTGTTTACTTCCCTATCATCTATAATTGGTATGATATACATTATCGGAGTAAAAACAATAACAATAAGGTATGATTCATTGTTTATTTTTGTTTTCAGCGGACTAAAAGTTTTAGGACCAGAAACCATGTTCAAACTGAGAGACAGCAAAAAGTTGGATGAGGTACAAGTTCTTTGAATTTCCAAAAAAAAAAAACACATTTTTTTACTATGCTCTAGATTTCTATTAAAAATTCGGTTGAGTTTTATATTATTTTATTTTCAGATCAAAAAGAAATGACTAACTTGGTGTCTTCCTTCTACTGGTGTTGGGTTCTTACTACTGGTTTAGGGTTCCTTCTATTGATGTAGGGTTTCTTCTACTGTTGAAGGTAGAATTCTCCATGCCTTGTAGTATTTAGTCAGCTAACATTAAAAATTGTATGGGCGATGATCGATCAAGCTTGATTATTATCCGGAAAACAAACAATAAACAAATATGTTTTATCTATTCCAACCGCCCGCTGTTTCAATCACTTATTTCTTATTATGGTACGAGATAGTCAGGTGTATCTCTGAATACTTCTATTCATACTAAGAGTCTTTGACAAAAATATTTGAATCCGACCAAGAGTCGTTATGAATTATTTGGGCAGCAACTGTACATGTATCAGGTGATTCAATGAGGGTGACGAGGTTAGTGTATCTCAGGAACTAATAATTTTTGAAACTCCTCTAGCGAGGACAGTAAGAACCAGAATGGCTTGAAATGGTTTTTTATTTTATTCATCAAACCTTCACGATAAAATCCATCTATCTGTATGTATATTCCAGGGCCTATTTTTGATTTAGTTGGGCCCCAAGGCCCAAGGAAAACTGCGGGCCTCTAATATATCCTATATATGACTTTCCAATACGATTTTTTCTTGTTACCTCTGACACTATTAGTTCTTTGTTGAGTTTTATAATAAAAAAAATGTTTAATGAAAATGTAATTCCCATTTACTTGGTTCAGTTATGTTTGAATCAATAATTGTGAACATTTTGACAACAAACAAAATGAAGAATCATCAATAGAAAGAAAGAAATTATTAATACTTTTCTATTCACATTCACTTTAGTAAACATATCTATGATCAATTTCATCATCATATTGATGAGAAATGTTTGTATAATCATAGAAAAATTTTTGAAAATCAAATGTCCAATAAAATACCAATACCTACTTCCTCTCTCTATCCTCCTTAGGCACGCACGATGTTCATCGAACATTATAGGAATTTCCTTTCGTGCGCTCCAATAGATAAGAAGAAAAGATACACGTATTCAGTTATTCACAAATTAATAATTTTTGTGGTTTTAAAGAACTACTTTAGTAGGAATTACAAAAAATAAATTCGTTTCGCGAGATATACTTACCTATCTTGAAACTCTTTCTCAAAATTCAATTGGAGTATGCAAGTGTAATAGATAAATCCCAATAATAAACGCCTTGTAGAGGTATTATAATAATTAAAACATAGGTGTTTCAGAAGTTTTGCAACATATTGATGGCGACATAAACAAAAACGCCGTTTTTGTTTCATTTACCAGAATTAGCAACGTGTTGAATGATTATATAAATCACATTTAAGTATAAATGTCATGTCTTCAAATTTGAATTTCAATGGGTCATAATTAGTTTTTTCAAGTCTTTTCCGGGCCCCACTTTCCACCGGACCTCACTGTGTGCCTTATTTTGGTAAAATAGGCCCTGTATAACTCCACAAGAGATAAAAAAAACCTCTTTAAAAAGTGATGTTTTGAGTTTTTAGGTATAAGTACACTAGTACGCATTGGAAACTGACGTTTAAGTATTGCTCGTCAAAATCACTTTCAACAATACACTACACTGTTTTACCACTAACCAAACCGATTTTTTAACGCCTCGACACGTGTTTCGCTAACTATGTTAGCATCTTCAGGAGAAGATTAAAACAGTTTTCTTTTTTTTATTATTTTTTTTTCTGTTCGAATTAAAGTACTCGAATGCACGTGTACGTCTTGAAGACGCGTACACGAATTCTATTCACGTATTCTCTCCATACTGTAATTATTGAAATCACTACGTTATTAATACTTCTTCATTGCTATGTATCAGAGGTGACATTATCATGCAAAAAGGAGAAAAAGATACTGAGAAACGGGTCAGTGAATTGTTATTTGTTTCACTAGGCAGAAAAGTACAAGATTCAATGCCGCGGCTGGCGTCTCATAGCCTAGGCGTAGGCGTAGGCCAAAAAAGTGTGACGTCATAATGATATATTTTGTTGGACATTTTAGTTCTTCTAGTGGTTACCTACATACTCCTGGAATCTAATTGGAATCGGTTCGGTGATATTCACGTAAAAAAATATAATAAAATAAATTCAACTTTGCACCACTGGTCAAAACATTAATAACAAAAAAGAGAGTGGCTGCTCGATCATAAGAGATACATGTCAAATATAAGACCTAAAATGATCGCTAACTGAATTTGATTGACACGAATCATCATAGGGAGTGCAAAATTTAGTGGCAAACTTTTCAAATTTCAAAGCACAATAGTTTTCTTATTTCAAATTGGAGCCCCTAGATATTTTCATGTCATTCGATGCGTTAATAGAAAACAAAATTTTCTTTTTATTACAACTCCATCGCAATTCTCATCGTATCAGAAGTTATTTGCCGAAAACTCAATTCATCAACTATATTCTGAGTCATTTGAATGAATAAAATACGGATGTGGCTTTGAAAAGTAAATTATTGACATTTAACTCTAATGAAGTGTCTGGAGCCTATTTGGGCTTGAGTAGTTCGAATTCAATACATTGTTAGCACATTTATTATAAATTTTTTGAGCTGTTTATTACGAAATATTGTTTTTTGTCATGGAGTGCAACCAAGAAGACTAAGAAGAGGGTAATTTTGCACTTATCATGCGATGGTTTTTTTTTCGAAATTTTGTTTAGATACTTTCACGTATTTTTGTTTGAAAAACACGAATTTTATAATGACAATGTGAACAAACCATTATTTATTGAGATATTTCACTATAAAGTTACAAACTTCACCTTCTTTTCCGACTCTCTTCTGGATCGCATTTAGAACAATTTGCCCTTCTTTTTCCATCATTGGACAATTTATATATATCACAATATACCACACATTTTTTTCTATTATATGAGTCAACTAGAAATATTATTTTCTTGTGATTTATTCCATGTCTAGTGAAAAGAAGGAAGAATATAATTTAAAATAATGGCCTGTGTAATGTCATTCAAAAGCAACCTGTTGACATTTGACATCTCGTATTTGGATTGACTATTGATTAAATGGCCATCATCTGGTATGCTTGTTCACTAAATATGAAAACCTCCATAAAAATCATATTTCCTGTTGAATTTTCTATATGAAAATGTGTCATTGAAGTACATCATGAGTATATAAAGTGTACAATGACAAAATAAGAAAGAGCAAGTAGCTGTAAATGCATCCAACACAAGGGGAAAAAGAAGGCGAAATTTCGAACTTTTTCTTTAAATATCTCGATAATTAGTGGTTTCTTCACATTTTTATTATCAAATTCGTGTTTTTCAGACAAAAATACGTGAGTACCAAAACAAAATTTAGAAAAAAAAAACCATCGCATGATAAGTGCAAAATTACCAAGAAGAGCTCGTAGATATGATTTTAATATTATAGACTGCTGGCCCGCGACACAGGGTTATCGATGTTCTAAGTCGGTATTCCATATTTAAAGTGACCCACTCACTTAGTCCAAGTTAACAGGACTAAGTGCCTCGGATAGTCGCAGTCGCGGGTTTGCCCGATTATTACAACGTATGCTCACATTGAATTCGTATGCAAATAGCATCCAGTTATACAGAATATCCTAGTTTATCGTTCCAGAGTTGTGCATACGAACTTAATTCATCGATTATTTCAAAGACCCGAAAAATCGGGGATTTCACTAATTTTTTATAAAACGTAGGGAGCTCACAGCAAGAAACGGTTTGCGGTGGTGAGCTAGTTTGGGTGAGTTCTATCGAATTATGAAATAATTTTTTTTGTGATATAAGCCCATTGATTGATGGGTCCCAATTCATTGTTTCGCCAAAGGGCATACATTCTTAGATCATCGACTATAACACTGAAAAATTGCCACTTCCGGTTCGTATGCCGCCCTTGGGGAGTGACCTTGGCGTATGCAAACTGGCAAGCGCCCCAATTTTCGTGAGATAAGATCATCGCACTTCATTGCCGAGCTTCTTCTTGAACAAAATTTTCAACTTTTTTCCAACCGAAAGGTGAGGTCAGGGCTGGGGCAAGGACTGGGTTGCGACTATCCAAGGCACTTCTTCCTGATGTTAACTTGGACTAAGTGAGTGGGTCCCTTAAATGGCATACCGACTTAGAATATCGATAAACCCTGTGTCGCGGGCCAACAGTCTATTAGGAGAATGTAAGAAAAACTCTTTTAGCAAGTCGAGTTTATGCACAACGTTATCCGCAACGACGTCATCCAGACAGAAGGCGCCTGCAGAACTTATTGGATAGGTTTTGAACGAATCGGAAATGTACAATATACCAAACCAGTTAGAGATAGACCGGTTAGAAATGAAGAAAATTGATTGGCTATGCTGTTATCTGTTACGAAAAATCCTTCCAATAGCCAACAATTAAGGTGTCCTGGATGTGAGCGAAAGAACTGTTCAACGAATTTTAGAAGACAACCGTTTCCATGCCTATCATATTCAGTTTCATCAAGAACTCTTTGAACAAGATTTTGAAAAACGTGTCGAATTCGAAGGTGAAATTGGAGTAAATTTCGACTTTTTTGATAAGATTTTGTTTTCTGATGAGGCCACCTTCCATAAGAATGTATTTTTGAATTGTCACAACTTCCATCATTACTCCGATCACAATCCAAGGGTTTTTAGGCAGATTGATAGACAACACAGATGATCAATTAATGTGTGGGAGGAATTATTGGTGAACATGTCGTTATTGTTTCTACTTTTTCGACGGGAATTTGAATGGCCTTATGTATCTGGATTTTTTGCAAAATCAATTGCCAAACTTATTTGAAAATCCAACAATAGCTGTAAGGAATGCATTGTGGCTACAACATGATGGAGCCTCAGCACATTATTCATTGCAAGTCAGGGACCATCTCAACACAACCTTTCTATATCCGTAGATTGGAAGAGGAAGGCCAAGTAGAGTGGGGCTATGTTAAGGATATTATTCATCAAGAACCTCCTACCACACGAGAAAATATGCAGCAGAGAATCCTTAACGCATTTCAAACCATTATACACCCGACCTATTACGAAGAGTGGCAAGGTCACTCCATAATCGTATTCGCTTGTGCGTCCAAGAGAACGGAAGACATATGGAACATATATTTTAATATTTAGGTAATAGCGATGTCAATACTCCTCTTTGTTTTTGAAAAGTTCATTACTAGAACTACTGTGATTTTCTATACTTTCATGATGTATATAAGATTTAGACGAATAGGTCTGTTGAACTTCTAATTGTTTATCAAAGCTTCCTTCATTTTTCATTTTTTCAAATGACTGATTAGAATAGTTGATGAAACGAGTTTTCGGCAAATAACTTTTGATATGATGAGAATTTCGATAGGGTTGTAATAAGAAAAAAAGTTTGTTTTATATTCACACATCGAATGTCATGAAAATATACAGGGGCTTCAATTTGAAATAAGAAAAATATAGTGCTTTGAAATTTGAAAAGATTGCCACTAAATTTTGCACACCTTTGATAATTCGTGTCAATCAAACCTCTTAGGCCTTATTTGATATGTATCTCTTATGACTCTATTGACCAGGCACTCTCTTTTTTGTTATTAATGTTTTTTACCAGTGGTGCAGAATTGAATATCTTTGTTATATTTTTCTACGTCAATATCACTGAACCGATTTCAATTAAATTCCAGGAGTATGTAAGTAACCACTGGAAGCTCTCAAATGTGCAACAAAATATATATATGGTGTGCCATTTAAAAAAATATATCATTATGACGTCACACTTTGTTGTTACACCCTGTATAATCAAAATTATTTTCCTGGTATGCGCCCCATGAGACAATTAAAGTGCAAAATATCAAAATCCCGACTCAACTGATAACTGGGCTATAGAAGACGGGAGGTGAGATACAGAACCCTGTATAGTGTATATGGTCCATATATACTACAATAACAAAAAGAAATATTTTGGAACTCATTTTATATACATATGTAAGGCACTCATTTTATATACATATTATGAAAGGCTTTCATTTCCAGAATGATGAGAAAGGAATGAAAATATTACTTGATTTTCTCTATTACTGAAAAACATTGGGTCTCCATTGAAATACAGGGTGTTATGGAAATAAATACACAAATAGAATAGACAAGAAGGCTCCAGGTACTATCAAATGACACCATTGAAAAAAATATAGGTAGGTAGTGAGCAAGATAAGATTTGGGGCAAGAGACCATTTTTCTACCAGAAATTCTACTCAAGGAGCTCATTACTCATATAAAGCATATACAAGGGAGAGAATAGTGGAGAAAGAAAGAAATAAGATAGTGAATCAAGTCATTATGGCCAATAGTGGATGATAGTTGGACCTGAGATGTTTCATGTTGAATGAGTTTTGAATATATTCTGGCTAAATATTGTATGTCCTCTTTTTTTTGTTTCTCTTAACTTGACATTTTGTGAGAAATTTTCAATACATCATACTTCATTCTCTATATTCCCATATGAATGGGTTCTGCACATGGAATTAAGTCATCAAGCATCTTTCAGTTATTGATTATTTGGTATTTTTTCTGTCCTACATTTTTTCCCTTTGATATTTTTTCCATAAGAATATTTGGTTTTTTTATATATTTTCACTGACCCCCGAAAAACAAACATCCTGTTACCCTGTTAGTGACAAGTTCATATCACTGGCATCATGAAATATGGATTGCTAGGGGCTATATAATAGGCATGAGTTAGCAAATCATCAGATTCACTGGAATTTTGATTTGGCCAGTTTATACAGGGTGTCCGCTAAAAGGAGGTCAATCCATTAACCATATATTCCTTAAACAAAGACAATATGAGTTTCTAAATTCCATTTCGCATTTAAGCCCTCCATATTCGATATACAAGGTGTCAAAGTTGGAAATTGAAAACTGTTTTTTTTTAATACTCGCGTATTTAATAAGATATAGCAATCTCAAAATTGGTACATTACTTCAGCACGAAGAGTTACATCGTGTCAGGAAAACAAAACAAAAAATAACTGTCAAATAGTCAAAATACTGGGGGCCAAGTACACACTCCCATATTTTTTTCGTACGTGCGCTAATGATTTCCTATTTATTTCTCTTCAAGTGATCAATCATTTTTGAGTATTTTTTGTCTCTCGTAAAATTTCCATAAAACCATTTGTTTTTATGATAATTCGAAAAGTACTGGTTATTGTTCGATGCCTATGCGGCTTATGGTACATATACATGCGGTACATACTCCTATTTATTTCGTCCAAATTGGAAGAGGGCGTAACTTCTTACGTACGAAAAGGTAAATATGGAAATACTGGGTGCTCAGAGGGAAATAAAATCGAAAAAAATAAAAAAAAAATATTCGGAAATTTTAGGTGAAATTATGATATCCATGATTTTGATAGCAACTTGATGAAAGAGATAGCAGATCAGGATTGTCTGGAGATGAATGAAAGATGTTGTGTTTAAGCCACATATTTTTCAAAGGCTAAGATTTTCTTTAATTGAAAGGGCTATCACGTATATTCAAAAAATCGGGGGTCATATGGAGCAATTCATTTAGAGGTTTTGAATTTCTGCCAATTTTTTTTTTTTTTGAAGAATTATTTTAATACATTCGCTCTGAGCACCCGGTATGTCCATATTTACTTTTTCGTACGTGAAAAGTTACGCCCTCTTAAAATGTCGACGAGATAAATAGGAGTATGTGAACATTATGAGACTACCTTAAGCCTCATAGGCATCAAACAATAACCAGTACTTTTCGAATTATCTTGAAAACAAATGATTTTATCGAAATTTTACAAGAGACAAAAAATCCTCAAAAATGATCAAACATTCCAAGGAAATTAGATAGGAAGTTATTAACGCAGGTACAAAAAAATATGGGGGTAAGTGTGTACTTAAAACCTCCAGTATTTTGAATATTTGACAGTTATTTTTTGTTCTGTTTTCCTCACAAGATGTAACTCTTTGTGCTGAAGTGATGTACCGATTTTGAGATTGATATCTTTTCTAATACAAGAGTAATTAGAAAAGAACAGTTTTTCATTTCCAACTTTGACACCCTGTATATCAAATATGGAGGGCTAAAATGAGAAATGGTATTTAGAAACACATATTGTTTTTGTTCAAGGTATATATGGTTGATGGATGGACCTCCTTTTAACGGATATCCTGTATATAAAACAGGATCAGAAGCTGAAAGATGTTAAAATGTAGGTATTTTATTTTGGCAAACTATTCAAAGGTTCTATATTAAAAATCTAATGTAATAATTAATAATACAATCATATTCTAATAAATTTATTATTGATGCTCAAGTCTTTTCTGTTTACCTCTCATAATTGCATTTTTGAATAACTTACAATAAAATTCAATTGCAATAGGTGAATCATCATTTCCAGGTACTGGATAGGTTATTAAATTAGGATTGCAATTTGAATCCACAATACCAATTGTTGCTATGGCCATTTTGGCTGCATCTCTAATAGCTGTATGCTGAGTTAATACATTATTCAGAGTGTTGAGAAAAATACATAGATCAGGTAACCTGGTAACTGCCCCAAACTGCTTTTCTGAATTTGTGAAAATTCCACCTCTCCAGAACCTAGTGTGTGCATACTCATTACATTCTTTAGCTGTACACTCAACAATATGAGAATTTTGTGAGCCTCTCAAAAAAAATAATATTATGCCACCCCTGTATGCTATATGTGCTGCTATATTTAGTGCTTGTCTGAGATGTTCGGCAGTCTTATCCAGATCAAAAACAACATGACCTAATCTACTTCCATATATGTAAGGAAGCATTCTTTCATCCAACGATCCTTCTTTGTGTCCATAATGAACTCGAGCATCAAATAAATCTTTTACTGTGAACAAGTTATGAACACTAAAATAATCAGGATGCTGTAGTGCTTCATCTCTTGTGATTTCTACAAAACCTGTAAAACCACAATATCTTTACACCATCGTTCCAGAATTCTCAAAACTACAAAATACCTTTGTGATCAGCTTGACTTTGTGACAATGCTGACAATTTGCGTACACTATTTAAATTATTAAATGGATATCGGATTATGTTTTTCAACATAGTAATTAAAATACAAACTTCGAGAGAGAATATAGAGGTTAGAGTTGTACTGTTGACAGATCTTAGTTGTCAAGTTGTCATCTTTCATCTTGTCAACCAGCTGCCATCTGTTCAGTGTTGCCAACAACCAATTTTAAAAGCGTCTAACAAACGTCTCTCGCCAGTCATTCACAATATGGCGGGAATCAATGTTACCAGGTGGCGCTCGGTTTTCATCGTTCCATGTTAAAACCACGTCAAAACTGGGGGAAAACAAACTCAATCCCATCAGTGCCAATAGCTTGTATACTGTGTACTGATAAGAGTGATAAGTTTTTAAATTTCTTGACATTAATTGTCAATATTCGATCGAAAACGCTAATAATGCCTGCCCGGCAGCTTACTTGATATTAAGCCGTCATTGTCTATTTAGACGAAAAAAGCCGACCAGTAGTGGAAGGAGAAGCAGTTCTCCGTGCTAATCATGTGATTTTGTGTGAGTCAGAAGACTTCAACAAAAGGCACATTTTTGCACTTTGTCTACAAACTTCGGTGATGAAATCTTCCCCACATGGAATAAAATTGAAGTTGGTTTCCAGAGGAACTCCTGTAAAACAATGAATTTGTATTTGTTCATGCAAAGCAGGACAATCTGGGTATTGTAAACATGTTGTAGCTGTTCTTTTATATGTCAATTGATTTGCTCTTCATAATTTGTTTGAATTGTTTGAACTATCTCCAATTCTTCACCCGTTCACTGTTCACTAAACTAATGAAAATGTAATAATGTAAAAAAATTAACCAACCCAACCATCATCACTAGCAACAGTGACAACACTTAATTATGCCATTGACAAGTTTGACTACAGCTACAGCAAGCTGAATGCAATGTAGTCTATGCACTTTATCCATAGACAACAGTTTGTTATCCTCCAGTTTGAAGTTCGTATTATGTAACCTAGATGTCGCCCACTACGTGAATCTCGCGAATATGTTTATTCCCTACGCCTATTGGTCGATTTCGTTACCTACGGCGTTTTCGGAGACTTACTCTGGGTTGATAACTCGATCAAGTAAGGTCACGTGACAAAAATCTCGGATCATCTACTCGTGTTCAACGTTTACGAACGTGTCAGGTTAGGAACACTGAATATTATATTTTTCCTGTGGTTTCATGAATTTGACAGACGAAAATGGTCACATAATTATTTGATCTGATTTCGAATATTTATATTTACCTGTGGATTGGTGTACTTGTCTCATATGTGTTGTTGCACATAACCACAACATTCACCCCTACCCAAATTCTCTTCTCAATGAATTACTTTAATCAAATTATGAAGATTGAAAAGAACATGTATAGCACCGGTCGTGATTTCTCCCAACATGCAAATTATTTTATTATTATTGTTTTCGTCGAATGTAAACTCCCGCGTTTTTTGATTGACTTAAATTCCGTTATGCGCATGCGGTGTCCTTTGCAACTCTGGCGACCCTGCTTTTGAGTAGGGTCACGAAAAATCAACCCGAGTCAGTGATCGAGTTAGCATCATTCAAGTTTCCGAACAGAGGTAGGTAGGGTCCCTTGATGAAAATTGACGTTAAAGTCATCTTAACAGGGTACGGACAGATCATAGCTGCATTCTTTTTTAATGATCTAGAGACTTTAGTTTTGTCTACTGGCATCACTGACATTGCTGTCACGTCACATTCATGGGCGCTAGGGTCCCTATTATTTATTTTAATTTACATGGTGTGATATTAGTAACTCCATAAATTTTTCTCCGAGTTGGATTTCTGAAAATATATTTAGCACACATGACATGACTACAGTAGTCCAGATACCCACATCGAGGTTTCTACTATTTCTCAATCATAATGCTCAGCTCATTCAGCTCATAGATAAACTACTGCTCAGCTTGAAATCATAATTTATTCAGTCAATTCAGTCGACCCTGGTATACAGTCTAAGAACAGTCTCTTTTGGTGAAATATATGGAGCTTCCAGTACAATTTATATATATGTTCCCTTAATCGCAAAGATTATGCTGGAGTAGTAAACTCTAAAACTAGAGGATTGTTCATCTATATCTTGGTATAATTGAATCAGGAATTCCATATGGAAATTACGTATGATACGCCAGTGACCTCAATATAACCTAAAAAACAACGAATGTCAAAAATCTAGTGTTTATCCCCAGAATTGAATAAGGATGGAACTATATAACTGTTTCACAAACACTTTAGAGTGAGAGGAGACGAGGATCTGTCCGTACCCTGTTTAGATGACTTTAACGTCAATTTCCATCAAGGGACCCTAATGGGCGCTACAGAAAATCATTCAAAATTTCAATAATAGGTATGTACAGGGTGTTTACTTGTTGAAGATCATATGGCGAACGAGTTTTGTAATTATGATCCGATTCTATTCAAAATTGGAAGATATCTGGGGTTTTCCGGGGTTGGAGATAATGATTGTTTCGTCAAACTTGGAAAATTCAAGATGACCAATCCAATATACAGGCTGATTCACGGTGGATGGCACATTAGACGTTTCTGGAAAACGCAACTCAGGATTATTCTGAAAAGTTGGTGCCTTGAATAATTAGTTGTGTTCTATCGACCTGAAATATTCTCAGCGCTGCCACCGTGAATCAGCCCGTATAGCGAAAGAAATTTCTAATTATCTGATTCTATTTAAGATTGGTATCTGGGGGTTTTCGGGGTCGAACTTTATGATTTTTTGTCAAAATTGAGAAATTCAAGATAGCGGATCCAATATGGCGAACGAATTTTGTAATTATGATCCGATTCTATTCAAAAATCAAAATTGGTAATGGAGATTCGATTCTATTCAAAATTGGTATCTGGGGGTTTCCGGAGTAGGAGATAATGATCGTTTCGTCAGAATTGGAAAATTCAAGATGGCGGATTCGATATGGCGAAAGACATTAGTTTATATGATTATTTTCTACCACAAATAGAAAATATATAGGATGCAAGAGTGAAAATAACGTGACTATAAGTTATACTGCGTATACCTACATCGTTGTTACTTTTATCAATCAATTGTTCGAAAATGACTTTTAATTTGAGGGGGAGGGAAAATCATATGTATAACATGGGGGTAAAGTATATTCTATTCTTTATTCTCCTGCATATTTTACGTATTACTTTTTATCAGCCTAATTTTCGTCCTAGACAAAGTTTTATACATGATATACGTGATATTAGTCACTCCATAAATTCTTCACCGAGCTGGATTTCCAAAAATATAATGAGCACACATGAATAAGTACAGTAGTTTCGGTTTCCATCATTTCTCAATCATAAGGCAAGATAAACTTCTGCTCAGCTTGGAATCAGAATTCATTCAGTCAATTCAGTCAACCCTAGTATACAGTCTAAGAACAGTATCTCTTAGTGAAATATATTAAGCTTTCAGTACAATTTATATGTTCCCTACCTCGCAAAGATTATGCTGGAGTAGTAAACTCTAAATCTAGAGGACTGTTCATCTATATCTTGGTATAGTTGAATCGGGAATTCCATATGGAAATTACGTATGATACGCCAGTGACCTCAATATAACCTAAAAAACAACGAATGTCAAAAATCTAGTGTTTTTCCCTAGAATTGAATAAGGATGGAACTATATAACTGTTTCACAAACACTTTAGAGTGAGAGGAGACGAGGATCTGTCCGTACCCTGTTAAGATGACTTTAACGTCAATTTTCATCAAGGGACCCTAGAGGTAGGTAACTCGGTTTGGGTAACCGAACGTTCAGGTTAGGGATCCGAACAACCCGAGTAAGGTTTCATTCCATCGAAGAAAGTGCGCACTGATAGATGCGGTTTTTTGTCGTGACGTCACCAATTGTTCTGTTGGAATTTATGCTGGAAGGATTGAACAATTGACCTATCCAAGATGCTGTCAAACCATCTAAATCAATATGGCCGACTGTAGGCACACATACTTTTGTGTCGCAATATCTTTGTTATAGTGATCCAAGGATTATAAATATCCACTTTTATTCAAAACAGGTATTATCATTATTTGATATATCTACCCAAGATTATACCGCTGCTACGTAAATCGACAAAAAATATTTGTGTGCCTACAGGCGGCCATTAGAAATATGTCAAAAGTCACGTGTTCTGGAATGCCTAATGGTTTATACAACACATTGATGGAAACACGGATTTTGTTGTGTGTCAGTCATCATGTATCTTGAGAATCAGAAAAGGCTAATTCGACTTAATTGATTAACACTGACTCTTTCTTCTAAAATCTCTCGAGAATCTCAAAAATCCTCAATATTAATTGTTTTCTATCAAATCAAAACAAAAAACAACACTAAAATGTGTCAACTGTCATGTCAATCTCCTCCAAACTGCTGGATTCTCGAAATGCGATTTAAAAGTGCGCATTTTATTACAACAGTTTGATGGATGTCCATCAACATTCCAGCGGAATTTTGCAACAGTTTGATGGTTTTTTCGATTCATGCGCATGATAAAATGTTGGAATGAAAAACGCACCCTAAGTTTCCGAAAACGCCTCTAGAGACAGAAGTTGGTCCCGCTTTGAGGACAGCTATGCTTCATATATGGTACTGACAATTGACGTATAGAGTTTCATGTCTGATTGTTGGATGTTTTGTGTCCAAAGAGCAATAAACAAAATTGACATTGACGATGCACCCAAGGCACCCAATTGCCAAGTTGCCATTTGTCAGTACTCAACCTAAAAATAAATCTAGAAAATCAAAAATTATAATTTTTTTAAATTTTTATGGATTGAACAAGTGATGTGATATAAAATTTGCATTCTCATGGTGCTGTTCATTTAATCAGTTTGGAAAATTTAAACAATCATACAACATCCATGTCGATGGTGAACTGGTGAAGCTCAAAGGAATCAGAATGGTCAGCAAGCGACGACCAATACATGCAACAAACTTGAATTTTCGACCCAACGTGAATAATGGAAATAATGTGGAGCAGAAAGGCACCAAACCAACAAGTGAACCTACTTCTGTTAGAGAGATATTCGTATTGATGGTTCTATACATTTGCAAGAAATCATTATTTTTCAATACAAATTTAAGAGTTTGCATTTACCTTGGATGTCTGTTTGTTGTGTCTCTCATTGCTGATGTATTGCTGATACCAAAATCTTACTTATCAAGATCAGATAACATTCTCAACAGATTCTTTGTCAAATTTGCATGGGGATGGAATTTGACTCTGGTGCTTCCTTTCATCATCCTCACTTCATTTATCTACTGTTGTGGAAATAAACAAAAAATTGTTCTTCATCATTTATCAAGGGTGGGAGTAGCTACATTTTTTTGGTGGTTCTGGACATCATTTTTCAACTACATTGAGGCCTCTTTAGGAAGATGTGTCAACCCTACATTCACTACTAAAATGATTTGTCTTCGAGAAGGCCATGTGTGGAATGGTTTTGATATGTCTGGACATTCATTTATACTCATTTATGGTAGTTTATTTCTGATTGAAGAGACAAGGTGTGTCATAAACTGGGATACTATCAAGGAGCATATGAGGCTAGAAGAACACAGTAGGATTACTAAAGAAACAAAAGACAGAGTAAATCCATTACGTAACCTTACAGACAAAGTATTCCACCAGACCAAAGTTAACTATGAAAAGTACACACCTTACATTAGATTATTATTTGTACTTATAACTATTATACAAATTCTCTGGGATATTATGTTGATATCTACAATTTTATACTACCATATAATGATAGAAAAGTTTTTGGGTGGAGCTTCTGCAATAGTAACATGGTTTTTAACTTATAGAGTATGGTATGTCCAACCAAAATTGTTACCAAGCCTTCCTGGTGAAGGAGATTTCAAGTATACTAAAAATAATCCAGCACCACCAGTTCAGGTATGGCACAAGAGAAAAAGCTTGACAGACCAAGGACCATTATTTATGGGTAGACCCATTTATGCTAATGTTAAAATTGAAGAGAGTGTCCCAGCTAGATAGCATTTAGTTATGGACATAATAATTTAAATTTCTTTCAACTTACCTCATGGTGGGGGTTTTGTTTCAAGTACCTAATTTTTTATATTTTCTTTTATTTTTACTCTTATTATTGTTGTGGGTATTTTTTTATTTCTGTTGATGATTGAAAATAATAAATTTTTTGTTTGAAACATTTGATTTTTTCAAGTATCAAAAAATATGTTGCCATGTTGAGGGACACTCAGTATTCAGGCAAAAAATGACAGTGCTGTTTTCCAGAAATTTTGATATTATGTGATCAGGATCAAGTACTGTGCTTCTCAAAAGTGCTCTCCCCCCCTCCCTTATTTTTGGAATTAGTATACATAAACAAGTGAAATTTGAAAACTGAATATTAAGGTTGTATACTTCCCTACTAGTGATGATAGATGATGAAATCATCAACATTGAACTCAATGTAAATACTTTGAGTTCATTGATCCTCAAAGACTATGTCACAAGGCCATTGATACCAATAATTTTAAATGGAACCCTATGGCAAGTGACACCTCTTTTAAAATGTAGTGAACAAGTTTATTCAATAATATTCATATGGCAGTTTTGCCTTCTGGCTTGCAAAAAACGCAAAACTTTGTATAGTATATACATAATTATAGTATATTGGTGACTGAATATTTAATTTTTTTCATAGTAGGTACACTTTTAAATCACATGTGGTGTTGAAATATCTGAAATGAAACACTGACCTTCATTGCAGTCATGATGACTGGCATTTACTGCTACATTCAATGATGATATATCTCAATTTTTATGAAAATTTCATATACATAAAAAAAACGGATATATATATATACAAGGTGCGTCATCAGGAACTGTACATACTCCTACCAAAAAGTTCATCCTGTATATGATTTATATGGTTTTTGTGGACTGTGACAGGAAATTTTCAAACTACACAAACAAGCATCAAAAATAAAATATTCAAAATTCTCCACACACTTTCACAAAATTTTACAAAAAACGATAAATTATAAGCAAACATGAAAGTTTGGCACACAATTTATTTATTCGAAAATATTTCTTTACAACGCATAATTTCACAAATAGAAGTGAGACTCACATTTTCTATGCTTTAGCTCAATGGAAATCATCATGTTCTTTCATTTCCAGACCAGTATTTCGTCATTTAATTTTTTGTGGAAGGTAATAATCACCCTGTAGATCTTTTTCGAATCAGAGGATGGAGTATTTGTTTGGATGATAATGGTAATCGATTCAAATAATTCAAGATAGTCGAACAGAAAATATAGGTTTATTCACAATAATTTTTCAATAGCTGACAAAGGAATGAAGATAATTCTAATACCGAAAATGAGTGACCAAGTTAACTGAATAAATCTAATCAAATAGATGAAACTGTGAATTAAAACCATAGAATTATTTATAGCTATGGCCGTTACAGGGTGATTATTATCCTTAAATTACTTGATTCAGGTCCGAAAATAAAATAATATTATGTTGATTATTTCCATTGACCTGAAGCACTGAAAATGTAAGTCTTACTTTTATTCGCAAAATAAATAGGTGGTGAAGTATTAATGTCCAAATAAATAATTTTTTTGCTGAACTTTCGTTTTTTTATAAAATGTGTTGTTTTTTTTTTTTCAAAATGCAGTAAAAGTGTGAGGAAAATTCTGATTATTTTATTTTTGATGGTTGTTTGTCACCTTTGAAAATCCCCTGACACAGGTTACGAAAACGATATACAGGATGAACTTTTCCCTATAAAAACTTTCGAAAGTTTTCAAGGACGGTCCTGGATTTTTCCGATTCTGAATGAGTCAGTCGATAAGAGAATGGTAGCGGAATATTTCATTAAAAAATCAGATGGTCGAATTATGACCAAAAGATGTTTTTGCCAAATCTCATTTAATTCACCCCATATATTGGTAAAGAAGAGAGAAAGACAGTTTCTGATGGACATTAGGTATTTCCCTCAGGGGCTCTATTCGTGGTTGGAGTATGTACAGTTCCTCATATGACTCACCCTGTATATAAAAAATAAATTGAGAATTCAAATTCTCTATGCAATAAAAATATCAATTCTTTCTCGGTTTATTCAACAGATTTATTTTGAACCAATTAGAAGGCTTCTTTTTGATTATGTTGCTTATAGCAACCGGGTGACTATGGCGATAATTTAATGGAATTATTGTGATAATTATTCTGTCAAGAATGAAGCGTTTTATTGGCAAAAATCACTCTCAGTTTCATTTGAAACTATATGTAGACATGCAATATGAGATGTTATGGTTGAAAACGATTCAATGTTTGTAATGTTCCTGAAATTTTAGTAATAAACCTTAAGTTACTAATAAGTAAAATCAACTTCTTTTGTAAGAATATAGTGCGTCATATTTAACTAAACTGGAGAAATATATTTTTTAAGTTTCATTTGAAACTATGTGGACATTTAATATCAGATGTTATGGTTAAAAACGATTTAATGTTTTTATTTACTACCATATATGTAATGTTGTCATTACTAACGTCATTGAAGGTTGGGAAGTGTCACATTACACACCTCTATACGTCCCGCTCTCACTATTTCCCGCCCTCACTTAATTATTTATTAATAGTTATGTTCAGGACGAAACAGATTCATTTAAGTATACAAAACTCGGTAGGAACTTCCATTCCTGTCTCGAGATCATAGCTAACCTCGACATAAAAGTTGCTAAATCTTTCGAACCATTCACATCACGTGATTTGTTGAGATTCGTGTTTTTTATGCTTATTTTTCGCAATAAAATTGTGGAGGCCGACCTTGGTCAGGGAGTTGAATTCTGGTCCACTAATAGCATGGCGTCAGCCCACTGTGATGATTTGTGTAGTGATTTAGGCGTTCGAGGATGTTTTTTCTTCCTCTCGAGACCCCGTGGGTCTCGTTAATAATAGTTGTTAAAATGGTTCCAAAACTTTAGGCACCCGTACCTCGCCGCTTTGCGTTTTGGTTAATTTACTCTATCTCACGACAGGAATGAATCTCTTCCGACCTAGGTATGTAATATACGAAAGCGTAGAAGCGCCACATGATATATTTTTTTAATAATTGACAGATATAACTGTCAACTAGCCTAATTGACAGATACTAAGTGGTAAGTAGTATACTTGACAGATACTAAGTCGTAAGTAGCATACTTGACAGATACTAAGTGGTAAGTAGTATACTTGACAGATACTAAGTCGTAAGTAGCATACTTGACAGATACTAAGTCGTAAGTAGTATACTCGACAGATACTAAGTCGTAAGTAGCATACTTGACAGATACTAAGTGGTAAGTAGTATACTTGACAGATACTAAGTCGTAAGTAGCATACTTGACAGATACTAAGTGGTAAGTAGTATACTTGACAGATACTAAGTCGTAAGTAGCATACTTGACAGATACTAAGTGGTGAATAGTATACTTGACAGATACTAAGTCGTAAGTAGCATACTTGATAGATACAGTCACTCTAATAGATACTAAGTGGTAAGTAGTATACTTGACAGATAGGCCAAGAAACTCGCCATCGCCAAGAAACAAAGAAGAAGAAGAAGAAGAATACAATGCTGACATATCCCTAACCAACAACAATGGCACTTATGAATTCAACGCCTTGGTGAAGATTGAAATGTGAAGACTGAAGATCTTTAGTTCCATCCATGTTCCATCCAAGTCCGGTGGCATGGTGAGCTGTGATACGTTAATTATAGAGGTAGGATTCTGGAATTTGCAGGAGGAAGGAAGAGTTCAAAATAAATATACAGCTAATGACCAACTAAAATTATCATCAGTGATATACACTACTCGCCAGCAGTCATGTGGGTATAGTTATATTGGCTGCTGGCTAGCAGTTGTAGATCACTGATGATAATCTCAAGTTGATCGTTGACTGCATCTTTCTCCTGCAAAATGTTAGGATCATACCTCAATATTTACATAATATACGGGAGTGCTTCCATGGAAAGTGAGACAAAATTTAATTTTTCATAACTGAACATTTTCCAGGAGAAATATGAATAGTTAGTAAATTGGACGTATTGATTCCGAATCCGAAGTGATTCTCAACCTATCTTGTCTCCCTAATCCATTGTTGTTGGTTAGGGTTATGTCGGCATTGTATTCTTCTTTCTTCTTCTTCTTAATCTTCTTTGTTTCTTGGCGATGGCGAGTTTCTTGGCCTATCTGTCAAGTATACTACTTATCACTTAGTATCTGTCAAGTATGCTACTTACGACTTAGTATCTGTCAAGTATACTACTTACCACTTAGTATCTGTCAAGTATGCTACTTACGACTTAGTATCTGTCAAGTATACTACTTACCACTTAGTATCTGTCAAGTATGCTACTTACGACTTAGTATCTGTCAAGTATACTACTTACCACTTAGTATCTGTCAAGTATGCTACTTACGACTTAGTATCTGTCAAGTATACTACTTACCACTTAGTATCTGTCAATTAGGCTAGTTGACAGTTATATCTGTCAATTATAAAAAAAATATATCATGTGGCGCTTCTACGCTTTCGTAGTAATATACTATTAATGTTCCTGACATTTTAGTACATAAAATCTGAGTTACTAACGAGTAGAATCAACTTCTATTGTAAAAATATAGTGAGCCGTATTTAACTAAACGCATCGGAAATACGTTTTTTTAAGTTTCATTTGAAACTATATGTAGACATGTAATATCATATGTTATGGTTGAAAACGAAATAATGTTTTTAATGTCCCTGAAATTTAAGTAATAAACCTTAATCACTAAAAGGTAAAATCAACTTCTATTTGTAAATATATAGTGCCTCATATTTAACTTAACTCATCGGAAATATAGTTTTTTAACTTACAATGTTTGAAGCTATATTATGTAGACATGTACAGATGTTATGGTTGAAAACGAATAAATGTTCTCAATGTTATTCCTGACATTTCAGTTATAAACCTTAGTTGGTTTAGGTCGATTTTTATTTCCAATCTTTCACGTTTATATACAGACAGAGTGATTCACGTTCGAGTTCTAACGTCCGTGATAATTTTTTCAAACAGATTCCAAAAACTGAATAATACTTAAGGTGTTTCATTTGATCAAATCATCACGGACGTCAGAACGTGGATCACCCTGTACATTCAATTTTC